CTCAGAACAACACCAAATTAAGTTTGCATAGGTTTCAGGAGGTGCGCTAACGATTGCAAGCATTTAAAACAGGTTCCAAACATTGTAAGACATTTTTACAGGAGCGAAAAAGGGACATCTTTAAGTGAAATTCCCCCATAGAGAACATCGTTAAACGATGGGGGAAATTCCTCAGAGAAACCCATCGCTGTGTGAATTCATCGTTGTATGAAGCAATAGTTGTGCGAGGCACCACTGTATAGGCAAACGTTTTCAATATGAATTGGTCAGTCTCTCTTTGTTTGCTAGTATTGTCGAATTCAAACTGTTCTGTCTTTATCATCCACCTGGTTTTTTTTGTTTGTTTGTTTGTTTTTGATGTTGTTAGCTGATACCATGGTGAAGAATGAGTTAAAACTATGGTTCGGGCTGAACAGAATTTACAAACTGTTAATGATGATAGAAAGAAGCTTGGTGGCCATATAGGCAAATGTTTTCAATATGAATTGGTCAGTCTCTCTTTGTTTGCTAGTATTGTCGAATTCAAACTGTTCTGTCTTTATCATCCACCTGGTTTTTTTTGTTTGTTTGTTTGTTTTTGATGTTGTTAGCTGATACCATGGTGAAGAATGAGTTAAAACTATTGTTCGGGCTGAACAGAATTTACAAACTGTTAATGATGATAGAAAGAAGCTTGGTGGCCACTCATGTAAGCCTCTGAAGGCCCAGTGTTGTCTTAGAGCACCATGTTGGGGAGGCAGTGCATATAATAGGTTTGTGTAAGTCTTGGAAAAGCCTGGACACACTCAATGCAATTTTCTCAATTAAACTGCAGGATTTTAACCATAATGTTTCTGGTGTGGTTTTTGGATTGGGAACAGTTTTTGCGCTCAAGTGTCTGGCTCACATGTCTGGCTTCAGAGGAAATTTCCTGGGTTGCTTAAGCTACCTAGTTTCTTGTGAACAAGGAAACTATAGCTAAACACTTCTGACAAATCAGGATTCATCCCTGTGTTATATGAGAATCAGTTTTAGCTCCCAAATGATGTTGTTGGGGGCTATAGGAGAATCCTAGGACAAGGGTGGAATTGGCAGATGTTACATATTACTTATACAAGCTATTGTGTGGCTTTTACTTACAGGTGTGACCCTGCCAGTTTTTGAGCATTACCAAGAAGGAGGGGACAGTAAGTAAGAAATTATTTCCTTTCTGTCTCAGGAAGGTTGTCACGATAACTCAGTTTGAATTATCTGTGTTAATAATAATCTCTGGAACTATGTTCTTTTGTCTTAGCCAGTGAAACAACAGATAAAAGTTATGTGAACTTTATAGCTGTCCTATAAACATGCATCAGTTTAGTGGTGTATTGCAGCTAAAAGGACTTGGAAACCATGTGGGAGTTGTCTGAGAGTTCTCCATCATCCCATATATTTATAGGTGCAGTTGTAAGTGTATCACACTGCTTGTAATGGTTTGTATTTTTCCAATTGAAAACTGAGATAAATAGCTTGGTTTTGTCTTAGCCAGTGAAACAACAGATAAATGTTATTTGAACTTTATAACTGTCCTATATGTATCAGTTTGGTGGTGTATTGCAGCTAAAAGGATTTGGAAACCATGTAGGAATTGTCTGAGAGTTCTCCATCATCCCATATTTTTATATGTGCAGTTGTAAGTGTATCACACTGCTTGTAATGGTTTGTATTTTTCCAATTGAAAACAGAGATAAATAGCTTGGTACCTTCTCTCATGCTTATAACATCCTCATTTCTATAAGGTCTCCTGATGAGTTTGTTTTGTGTTTAGAAGTTTCTTCGTTTTCTGTCTACAAGGTTGTTAACCGTATTTGATTATTTATTTCAGGTTACGAGCTCACTGGTTTGGCCAGAGGTGGGGAACAGCTGGCCAAATTGAAAAGGAACTATGCCAAAGCGGTTGAACTCCTTGTAGAATTGGCTTCCCTTCAGGTTTGTAGAAATGACAAATTATCCAAAGCTCTCTTATAGGACTGCGTTAAAGTAAAATGTCCAAGGAACTACAGGACTGCACATGATTCAGGCCTAAGAATATATTGTTTGTTTGTTTGTAACCGTATTTGATTATTTATTTCAGGTTACGAGCTCACTGGTTTGGCCAGAGGTGGGGAACAGCTGGCCAAATTGAAAAGGAACTATGCCAAAGCGGTTGAACTCCTTGTAGAATTGGCTTCCCTTCAGGTATGTAGAAATGACAAATTATCCAAAGCTCTCTTATAGGACTGCGTTAAAGTAAAATGTCCAAGGAACTACAGGACTGCACATGATTCAGGCCCAAGAATCTATAGTTCATGAGGTCTTTTAAAAAAAGAAAATTTCCTGCGAACGATAAGAGAGGGAAGGGTGTCAGGGGTGTCAGGGATTATCTGATGAAGTTCATGAAGTCTTTTTAGAAAAGAAAATTACCTGAATGTTTCCTGACACATTGAACTGCAGTTGTTTCTATGGTAAACAATGAGGCCAAGAGGAGGTAGATATGGAGCTCCAGCCAGGTGCATGGGGTTTATGGTACAAATTGAATGTCACTGGAGCACATGTAGAGGATTGGGGAATTTATGTTAAGGGTTAGATAGGTTGCACCTTTGTAAGACTTGACTTTTGAAACAGTGTACAAAATCCTAGTAGTGTTCAAGGTATATATAACCTGCTGGAGCTAATTGAAACTACTTGCCAAGGGGCCAGAGTCACATGCCCAGTTACGCAACCAAGATGTACTTGGTACCTTGTCTGTGAGCCGATTTGTCACGTAAACTCTGCCCCCTTGGCAAGTTAGATCAACCTTCTGTGAGCCCCAGTAAAATTCTAGCCATTGACTAGCTGACAGTTCACAGACTCTTACCTTGTTGTCTCAGACTTTGCTGTATTTTAACTTATTTATTAGCCATATTTATATCCCATTCAAAGTTGTACTGACAGTTATTTTCTTCACTTACTACCCCAATAATTGTTCTGGAATCTGTTTGTCAGCTGATACGGTCCTCTTTGCTCATATATGAAATAAAAGAACCTGGCCACTGCTTTAGGCTAGGAGGTGAGGTTGTTACAAAATTGTTCCTCACCCCCAAAATGAGGGACATTTTTTCATAAAACCAGTTTTTAAGGGCAGGGGCAGAATGAAGAAAATAGAGGATTTGGGCAGAGGCACCAGGGAGCCTCTGGGCCATGCTTTTATGCTCCTCTAGCTTGCATGAAAGGTATGCCTCTGTTCCAGTGCCCAGCCCCACTCCATTCCAGCTGAAGTGTGTAAGTCTGTACTTGGAGCAGCTGGTGGGAGTGAAGAAGACTGCACGCTTTGCCCTGCCGTCCTCCGAACTACTGTGGTGCACCCCCTCCCACCCTCCCATGTCGCTGTGCCTGGAGGGATTAGGCTGGCCAGTTAAAACTCTGTTTAGGGGTGCTTGCATGTGAAATGTGAGGTAAGTAATCAGACCAACATTTTGTCTAGTCAGTTCTATATATTTTTTTAATTAATGAATGTAATGAATAAGAATATTTTCCCCAGAGTTGAGTTCCCGAGTCAATGTGTCATATTGGGTTTTAAAAAAGGCTTATTTTCTGTTCCATCTCTTTTATTTTTTAACATAGACCTCATTTGTTACACTGGATGAAGCTATCAAGATAACAAACAGGCGTGTGAATGCGATTGAACATGGTAAGTAAGAAGAGATCAATCCTACATGCTCTTTTCGTCTAGTACAGACAACAGCGGGATGTTACCTTTGTGGTAGCATCAGTATTTTCACATCATAAATCTGTTACTACAGTGTGTTCTTTAATACGTATCATAGTTTTGATGATGGAGAGCTTTTACAGAACCACTTTCGTAGCCCTGCCTTGGAGGAAGACAGGAATTCAGGTGAATGTTCCCACACTTCTTTTTGCCTACACTACTTCAGGCCCCGGTGCAATCCCTGTTTTGAATTTTTAATTCTAGTATTGTGTTGGAGCTATTTTTAAAGGAGGGAGTCTGAGATTGGAAGAGCACAGAATTATAGACTATATTTTATGTATTTTGGATCCAGTACATTTTGGCTACTTAGATACCACAGCTAGATTAACCTCATCTGCCTCATTCTTGGATTTTTATGAGACATGCCATTGTTTTCGGTTAATTCCTGGAACTAGCATGCCAGGGGAAGTGGAATGCACCTCAGAGGTTATTTGCATCCAAAGTTTCAAGTTACTCTGCCGGCGCTTGCGGCCAGAATGCGGCTGGGGCACGTCACAATGGTGGGGGGGGGAGAGGGAAGGAAGGAAGGGGGGGGAGGGGAGAGGGGGGCTGTGTGACTGCATTGTGCCATCCCCGTCAATAGGTGGACCCCCTCCCCGCCCCATAAAGCCACTGGAGTTGAAGCTGGCAGCCTCTGCTGTCTAAGATTGCAGCTGCCGGTAAGCGCGCTTGGAGCGGGGCTGTGGAGGATGGCGAGGGCTGCCCCCCCATGCAGCCCAAACCAAATTTATGTGCAGCCCAAACCAAATTTTCATCTTCTAATGTGGCCCAGGGAAGGGGAAAGGTTGGACACCCCTGATCTATAGGGTCCCTTCCAGCTGTGCAGTTCTGAGAAGAGGAAGAAGAAGAAGAAGATTTACCTAGCTTTAGTATTAAACGCTGTCACTAAGGCCACTCTGGCCAGAGAGTTTCTGTTTCAGTCCTGTGAAGTTATTACATCCATGTAAGTGTGTTTACAATTGCACATTTTGTTTATCTTCTTATAACCAGGCTGCTCCAGGCTGTGTATTTTAATACGACATTAGGACTTCCATATCTGTGGGGAATCGGTTCCAAGCCCCCCATACTGAAAAATGCAAATTATCAAATGCCACACATTGCATGCTTTCTTGCTCCCTCTAGTGGCTATTCTGGTAAATATACTCTGAAAAATACATACTGTATTTTTCGCTCCATAAGACGCACCTTTCCATAAGACGCACTAATTTTTTAGGAGAAGAAAACAGGAAAATATAATCTGTTTTCTTTGCTCCGTAAGACGCACAGACTTTCCACCCCTCTGTTTTGTGGGAAAAAAGTGCGTCTTATGGTGTGAAAAATACGGTAAATATTTCTGAGGCATTTTGTTTATCATTTTCAGGCAGCAGATCAGTGAATCAGCCAGTACTGATCCTGCACATATGGGGGTCCTACTGTATTTAAATTATTTCACAGCTAAAAGGTATGGGTCATGTGTGTAAGGCACCAGCATACTTTTTTTTTCGCTTGATGTCATTCTGTTCTATAATCGGAATTGCTAATAACAATTATACTTTTGCAGTGATTATTCCGAGGATTGAACGTACACTGTCTTACATCATAACCGAGTTGGATGAACGAGAGCGTGAAGAGTTCTATCGGTAACTTGGTTGCTATTAAAAAAGTGAAATATGTGGTCTGCTTTTTCAAAATGTTTTTGAGTATATTGTATATGAAGAATACATTGAAAATCTTATTACAAGTCAAAGTGCAGGATATGAAAGATCTATTATTTAGAACGTTTCAGAAAAACTATATCTGTTATGTGGTAAAATGGTAACAGGATTCTAGATGTTCTTGATAAAAGCAGTTATTTACATTCTCTCACACCTCTGCTGCTGATGGTCTGCCATTTCAACCCATTTATAGAAAAGTTAATACCAGCTTCTACAGATTATGCAACTTTCATAGAAAACCATGCTTTGCAAGAAGTCTATGAATGGGGAACCAAACTTGTGGAGAACATTCTCATGTCAAACAGCTTTGCTGATTTCCAGATTATGATGTGTAGAATCCTTTTGGCATAATTAAATGGGTGTAAATGACAATGGTGCCATCAATCTGCAATGTAAATTTTTACTTTGGTTTAATGTTTCCTTACCCCACTCAAGTTTTGAGGCCCCTTAGAGAGAAGGTGGTGATTTCACCCCTGCTGGCCCCGGGGGGGCAGGGTGAGCTTCCAAAGGGCCCTGGAACACGCCCTAGGATGCTTTGAAGACTCACCCAGCCCCCCCGTGGGGCCAGCAGGGGCGAAATCACCACCTTCCGGGACTCTTCTGAAGCTTCCCAAGCCTTAAAAGCGTCCTGGAAGGTGGTGATTTTGCCCCCTTTGGCCCCATGGGGTGGGTGGGTGGAGGAGCCTCCCAAAGGGTCCTGGCACACACTAGGACCCTATGGAGGCTCACCCAGCCCCTTGCTTCCCAAGCCTTAAGAGTCCTGGAAGGTGGCGATTTTGTAGCCGCTAGCCCCCCCGCGGGGGGGCTGGGGGAGTCTCCAAAGGTTCCTAGTGTGCCTTCCAGGACCCTTCTGAGCTCCCCCCCCATCCCACCCTCGTGGGGCCCTGAGGAGTGCTGTTTTACAGTATTCGCTCCATAAGACGCACACACTCCCCCCACGTTTTTGGGGGAGGAAGTGCATCTTATGGAGCGAAAAATACGGTACATCCAGTTGAATAAACGTATCATTCAGTTTGCCTGCTTGTTCCAGACTACTGTGGCTGTAGCACCTGCAAGAAGAGGCATCTCTGTACGGCTTCTGAGAGTAAAATTCCTTGGGTATGATGGAGCCTTAGCACCAAGGCCATACTAGGAAAGGAGACCCATATATACCTCCCATATCCCTATTTTATCTTCCCTTTTCTTGGACATTAATTCCTAATCTTTCCAAAAACCTGGTGACAGTTGGGAGGAAACTCCAGATAATGGTTTTGCCATCATTTCCTTCCTTCAAGAAAGGAAAAGAACAAGGAATGAGCTCTGTCATAAATGTCAATATTAAGATCTCTTGCTCTGCAGGTTAAAGAAGATCCAAGAGAAAAAAAAGGTGCTGAAAGAGAAGAATGAGAAACAACAAGCATTACGGAAGGCTGCTGGACAGCAAGAACCTGCTAATTTGCTTGCAGAAGACAAAGACGAGGATCTTCTCTTTGAATAGCTTCATACACATTTCAATGTGTGACTGAAAGCAGCGCCTTTGAGATACAGATATCATGGTGGTTATTTATGTTGTGGTCCTCATTTGCTATATTAACCCGAAATATCCACTCATCACTCTGGATTATTTTGGGAATTTTTCTGTGGTGGAAAACAGCCTCATGTTTAATAATTAAATAGACGCATGGATTAGAAAAAAAAATCCAGCTCTGTTTTCCTGTTTTTCATTTCATTCCTTTCACAAAGAATGGGTATCTTTGCTTCTGCTGTGCTTAGCTACACATAGATTGCCATTTCTTGTTTTACTGAATACTGCCAAATTTTGTGAGCAGAAGTTTGTTTTAAACTGCTTCATTAAAATGATTGTACCAATGTTGCAGATTTTGAAATGAATAGCTTTTTCTCCAGAATCTGATTAAGAAAAAGACTGTACCTGTATATTCATTGTAATCTGCTTTCCTCACAGCTTAAAAGGAAAGTCACTTCCTTGTATCTGTCAACTAATGTGTAGTGTAAAATCAGTAAAGAAATTGTATACAGTCAGGCTACTTATTGACAATATACATTAAATCTTCAATATCAAGGTGCAGGAATACTTGTTTGCTCAATGTTTCCTCTTGCAACTGAGCCAATAATTGCAATCGTCCCTTTAATATAAGATAATTCAAACTCTGAAGTAGCATAAAGTCAAATTCCATTTATTTACCTTGCTGAGCATTAACAGCCACTGACAGGAGGGTTGGGAAATAAATGTGGCAACATAATACCACCTAATATGACACACTACCTGCTGCCATGTAGATGATACAGCAGTATGTTTTGTGGCACATCCAAGAGCCTCATGACAGTGATTCAATTGCAGACAAAACTCTGCCCATGATCCCAGGTAGCCGGTTTGAGGTTCATCCACCCAGTAAAACGAGTACCTAGCTCACTGGGGGAGGGGGAATATATAGCCTGCATAATTAAATTGTAAACCACTCAGAGTGTGCTTTCCGCATTGTGGGGCAATATATAAGCAGCACTTTGCTTTTTCTTTGTATCTTCTGCTTTTGAGGTAATCAACGGAAGCTTCTTTTCTGTGCAATAAAATAGGCATCATCTACATAGGAAAATTAGCTTAGCCCACAGCGTTCTCAGGATTTGGATATTATAATCGACAACTAGATTGATATAATAGTCCCTTTAAAAAAATTAATTGATGTAGCCCACCTTTTTGAGCAGGGTTTTTGAGTGGCCAGCTGGTGGAGAGGTCTTGGGGAGCTTTTCACTCTTACCTGCCATGTTTCTCCATCAGCTATGTTCACTTCCCTTTTAAAAAAAAGCAGTTACAAATCAGACGTTTTCTCTTCCTATTGGTAAATGAAGACAGTAGGACATGACCAAGTACAGACAGCAGAGGAAGCACTTCTGTGTTTAGGAGAGATTCTAGAACTTATTTATTTATTTATTTACAATATTTTTTTAGCCGCACCATTGCCAGTGGCTTCTTAAGGTTTTATCCAACAAAAAGGTGACAAAACTGTTTCCATTCCTTAAAACTGTCTCCCTCAATCGACTCTGCATGTTTGGGGACCAGTTCAGAGCACATTTAAAGGCCACCAAAGCATGAATGAAGTAGAAAAGCGTCCTACTCAGTGGGCAGAAGTTGGTTGATGTGACATTCCATGTAACTAAAAGTGTCTGTATCCTAATTTCTATGCCAGTGTGGTGGCAGAAGCCTTTTTCCACCTATAGTGGCTTACAAAGGCAGGGTACATTCTTTACACAATAACAGCTGGTAAGAAACATTACATAAGGTGTGGGGGAGAATTGTATAATTTCATTAGTGCAAAAGAGCTAGTCTGGCTATCTCTAGTGAAAAAAGAGGTTACTTACCTATAACTCTGGTTCTTCGAGTGGTCATCTGTGTATTCACACTAGTGGGTTAATCTGCGCTTGAGCAGAGCAGCCTCAGAAATTTCCAGAGCTCAAGCACATGGTGCCAGTGCTGGCCATAACTCCTAACTTTTGCAACTACTACCAAAGCAACATCAAGTCTTGCAATTTTCTCTCTACTGTATGTTGAATATAATCCAATAACACCAAAGTGAAACAGGAGGCATTTCTACATGAAATTGCTGGGAGAGACTGTCTTGAGTTTTGGGGTTACACTCCCCCTGAAATCCCAGGTTCACAGCTTGAGTATAGTCCTGCATTCATCTCTGGGTCTGGATGCCCATGATTCGGTGGCAAACCACCACAGAGGCGCCACCATCGTCCTCCATGCCATGAGGGAACAGGCCGGGTAGGTGGGACTCGTCAGCCTCGGAAGGAAGCCCATCTAAGAGAAGGAAAACTCTGATTTCAAACCCCCACTGAGGTGCCGCCATCGTCCTCCATGCCGTAAGGGATCAGGCAGGGTAGGTGGGACTCGTTCAGCCCTGGAATGCAGCCCATCTAAGAGAAGGAAAACTCTGATTTCAAACCTTCACTGCCTTGTGGCTATATCCACTGATGGAAAAGGCTTCAGGAGTTAACCTCGAGGCAAAATCCGGAGCCGGAGTCCCGGAGGCAGTTCGTGTCATTCTGTAACTCCTGCGAAGTTGCTAAAACCAGCTGTATTGGCTCTTGCCTTTCCATTGGACTATTTCAGTGATGTGGAAAGGGGGGATTTGCTGGTTGGGTAACAGCCTATCCTCCATATTATTTTACTTAGGCTTCGTGCTCTGGAGAGGACACTCCAGGTTTGCGTACAGCGTCAACACACTAGACACTGTTCCAAGTCCTCCATACAGAGCACGCTACCATAGTCTCTCGAGACTGAAGGGTGCCTTTCTTAGGAGTACTTTTGCACTGTTAAAATTGGTGCGTTAGCTGTGGCCGTTCCTTGAGATGTTTGATTTGGCTACAGTGACATATGCCTTTGTTACATCCCACTTGGATTTCTGTAACGTGCTCTATGTGGGGCTACCTTTAAAGGTTGTTCAGAAACTTCAGCTGGCGCAAAAATCAGCAACCAAACAGCTGACTGGGGACAGTTATAGGGAGCATATAAAACCTCTACTACAACTACTGCAGTAACTACCAGTGGGTCTCCGGGCCCAATTTAAAGTGCTGGTCATTACCTATAAAGCCCTATACAGCTTGGGTCCAGGCTATCTAAAGCACTGGTTCTTAACCTTGGGTTACTCAGGAGTTTTGGACTGCGACTCCCAGAAGCCTTCACCACCAGCTGTCCTGACTGGGGTTTCTGGGAGTTGCAGTTCAAAAGCATCCGAGTAACAAAGGTTAAGAACCACTGATCTAAAGGACTGTATCTCCCCATATACCTTCTTATTTATTTATTTATTTATTTAGTTTCATTTCTACCCTGCCTATCTGGTCATTGCAACCACTCTAGGTGGCTTCTCAGCATTTAAGATCAACATCAGAGAACCTCTTATCAGTCCCACTGATAGTGCAGGCATGGCTCATGGGGACACGGGAGAGAGCCTTGTTTGTGGCAGCTCCCAGGTTATGGAATGTTCTCCTTTGGGAGATTAGGCTGGCTCCCTCCCTTTTATCCATCTACCAACAGCTGAAGACTCATCTTTTCAGATAGGCTTTTAACAATCATGACTGAATCCCTGAATACCTTTTTGGAGTTAAGATAGTTTTTAAGGTTTACTTGCTTTTAACTATTCAATTGTATTTTAATTAGCATATAATTTAATTTTTTAAAAATGTTTAACTTATGTTTTTAACTGTATTCCTTTTAATATGGTGAGCTGCCTTGGGCCCCCTTATTGAGAGGAAAAAAGCCTATAAATGAAACAAATAAACAAATAAAAAATTTAGCATAGGTTGCAAAGTTCAAAATAATATTTACGCAAAGCAGAAGGAAACATGTACAGTTGGCTCCTTTGTCCCTGAATCAGGGTACCTGGTTTTGATGCATAAAAAGCATATACTTCATGTTTGAGTAAGTGGCAAGTGACCTTTATTTTTGGTGAGAAAAAGTGGTGCAAGATACGCTTCCTTTTCAAAGGACAGTGAAAAAGTTCTACAATTAAACACATGCAATATTCAAGTTTCATTTTTCAGGAAATTACCTTAATTATTATTATAAAGAGCAAGAGGTTTTAATACTCCTAGAACATTTTCACATAGTCTAACAATGTTGCCACTGGGAAGGAAATCACATGGTCACTGCTCCATGAAGTTTCCTGTGCTATTCTCTGTCAATGCAATTTTGAGGAATTATTCTTACCATGATAAAATGCAAGCGCCTTATAGACTTCATGTGAATAACTATTAGAATGCTGTGAAGAATGGAAATCCCAGCCCTATTAGTAAGTACTCAGACAGACATAATTTACAAAGACAGTTTTTGCTGACTTATTACAGAAGTTCAGAACCCACAGATGTTGTTCTGCTAGAAATCCCATAAACCATGATCACTGGGACTGATAAGAGTTGGTCAATTATTTGAAGGTCCAGGGGTTCCTTATTCCTACTATAAAATATCAGTCGCCCAAGATTTCGCTGATGCAGTTGAATGCCAAAAAGGCTTCTGGCTAGTAAGAAAAGGGTAGACTGGCTTTTACCTATTTCCATTTATTCATGCATAGAGGCTTATAACTAACTGTATCCAAGTGCCTCTATCTAAAACAATGGTCACTACCCCACATCTACTCCAGAAATTGAGAGTATATTTTGAAGCAGATTGGGAGAGGCTACAAGGGGAGAAAGGATAGTTCTGTGACCTACATGGGAGGCGTGATTTCAGATAGGACCCAAGGATAACGAATATACTGTAGATCTGTACTGACAGCTTGAAGTAATCTTGGTGCTGCATCCCTTTTATCTGATCTCATACTTTTATTTTCTGGCACGATGGCCTGTAAATGTTAAGCCACTAGAAAGTGAAGTGTAACTAAATAGTTAAAATATGCATTTACAATTATTTATTTAGAGTTGAAGCATAATTTTACATTTTTTACATTCATTTGTAACAAGAATGCAGATACACAATATCATGCTTCCATGTGGGGCTATTCATAGGTAGCTGTTATGAAGTCATCCCTTCCACTCTTTGATTTTTAAAGACACATGATTAGAGTTATAGTTTGTCATCAAAGTATGTGTCACTCTACTAAGTATTTTTCCCATATAAGCAGCATACAAAAATGTAATACAGCAGCTGTTGTTTAGCATATAGCAAAACATTTAATAAAGTGGAATGTTATTAGCTTCAAAATTGTATAATTCTGCCCAACACCACCATCCAAAGGTACATGCATTCTGGCATACCAAGTACATGGAGCATTCTTTTTGAAACATATACTTCAGCAACAGATTGAGTGACAAACGTAAATTCAATTATTGCTTCATTTCTGAAATACCTGTTAAAGACTTTTTTGGACTACTACTGTTTACATACTCTTGCATACCTGTAACCAGATTTTAGTAGGATTTGTTTTACACCACCACTCTTACTGCATTCACAAAACCAGGTGGTGGCACACTCAACAATATCAGTAAAATTGCAATTCAGAAGACTACAATTAATGCTATTACCAGAAATTTGAAAAAGGTTTATTGCATAACACACCCCACTTTTTAAAATACACTGGCCGGTGTGGAATGCCAAGTTCCTAGTATCTTACCTACTGTCCTAGAAGGTATCTCCAATTACATAAAAACATTCATTATGCATTTAAAAATAAAACTGTTTTAATTTTTTTCCTAATATGGCTATAAACAACCTTACTTACATCCCAAGGGCATCAGCACCATATACCTTACAGATAATGCTAAAAAGGTATGTTTGAATAAGCCACAAAAATGGTGCTGATACATAACACATTCTATCCTTTAGCCATTACTAAAGAGGGAACAGGCGTGGTATTAGTGTGCTTCTTCTCCACAGCCTTTTCCTTGCTGCATTCAACATTTACCACCCTTAACCACAATTCAGTACATCTTCATTAACCTTAAAACATTGTGAGTGCTGTTCTGAACAACCTGTAACCCTTAATTTGTAAACAGGTTCAAATACTGGTTTAAAAAGCGACAAACGTAACCACAGTTAAGCTTAATACAGCCATAACAACCCACAGTTAAAATTCATGGGAGGAGGAGATTTGCATGTAAGAAGGAAAGAAATATCACTGTACATCCTTCCTCATCTCTTAACCACGGTGGGAAGCAATACACCTGGATGGTCTACATGCCTGAATTTTAGTGACAACCAAACCAAAGGAACAGACATAATATTCATGTTTGTGCCTTGAATTCTAGGCAGTGTTTATCATGTAAGATAATTACTTTCAGGTTTAACAGTGATACAGACTTAGTCCATATAATTTCTATTTCCTACCCAAAGGCTTTATTGGATGGAGGCACATTGTAGAGTACTTTTCCAATCTCTGATAAGTGTGCTACATTTTAAGACTGTTTGTGTATAATCTGCATAGGATGAGAACTGCTAGATGTTGTCAAATATTTTCCTTCTCCCCATGGCGGGGGCCAGATCACAGTACTTTGGAGTTGCCGTTCTTAAGCAGCTTTCTCCGTATATTCTCCACAAGTTGCTGTATATAGTGCTCAGCTATGAGTCTACAAGACTCATACAAGGCTGGCCTAGATATTTTTAAGGGAAAAAGCTTTAATTCTTCACTATTAATTACACTCTACCATAAGGTGAAGTACTTCCAGTGTATGACAATATATAAAAATAAAAACTATGACTGAGAACAAGGAAAAAAACTATTCATATTCACATTCAAGGGTGCCACACACAAAGAATCAACTAAGCTATTTCAGCTTTCATGTCAGCTGCAACAGGAGAAACTTCATAGATGAAACAGCTACAATACTTGAACCTTCATGGATATTTTCAATTGCACATAAGGATGTGGTGGTTCTAGAACAGCGAACATGGCAGGTTCCTAGTTTAGCAATTTTCCTATTCTTTCTTTACAGGGTGATGACTTGTTTACTAAATAATATTAACTCCAGTTAGCTAACTATATGACCCACAGCCATGAGACATCCTGTGTCTAGGTATAAAAATACAAGAAAATACTCTAATATTTACCATCCCAAAGTCTGTGTTCTTAGTTATAAAAGACAATTTTACACTGTAAGGAAGCAAATCCTTTTAAAAAACATACAAGAATGTCTTTTTTTCATAAAAATATAGCTTCCCTTCTAGATAATAGTTCTTCCCAAATGACTTACGTAGCCAAGAGGAAATATTTTCCATAAAAATATCACATCTAAAGTATCAACTTATATATTTACACATATAATTCCTTTTTATGAAATTTATGAGTTATTTGGTAAGCTATCAATCTGATTTACAAAGTACCTAAAGACAAGAAAGTCTGAAATATTTACATAGTACACATATTAAAAAATTGCAGTACGATTAGATAATGGAATGTTTCATCTCTAAAAACAAATTCAAGCTTAAAAGGACAACTCTAGATCAAAGATGCCCATTTATACAGTTAAGAGTGAACTAGCACATTAATTAATCCATTCTCCTTGTAGACTAACTTCTTTGTCCAATACTCTGTAAAGATAGTTTTGAAAACTACAAGCATGTCCACGAGATCAGTATGCTAACATTGTCACAATAATAAGCATTTATTATGATCATGTGAATTGTTTAGATATGTTTCCTTTAAATTTCCAGACATAAAAATGAAAATTTAAAGCAACTGTTTGAAAAACAAGTCAAATAATTATAATATACTGACTTTTTCAGAATGAACATCTGATAAAATAAAATCTCTCCCTTTTGTGATATTCTACATAACAGTAGATTTGTGCCAGACTATATGATTTCTAAAAAAACTTACTATACTGATCATGTGGACAGAGGACTAAAGCTTAACCCATCAACTAATATCAAAGATAAACAGTCATCTATAACAAAATCTTTCCTCCTTAGAACTGCCCTCTTTCACCGTAGCCAAGAGGATGGAACCCATTGAGGTTCTGTATCAAGTTTGTTAATTAAACGAAGTAATTCCTGATATGCTTTATCAATATCAGAATTCACAATTGCTGTATCGAAGTAATGACCATTATTTTGCTCCATCTCTCTGGTTTTTTCAATGATTTCTCGTAATTCTTCTGGCTAAAATTCAAACAGAAATATTATGTTTCATCAGCAGATATTTATGGGTATCACTCAGCTATACACAACCATACATACATATTCAATCAGAGCCTTGGAGAGTACAGTGGTGCCTTGCACAACGAGCGCCCCGTAGAGTGATGAGTTCGCTCTACGGGGACGTTTTTTCCATCGCTAATGCGATCGCCCCAATGGGTGAAAATCGTTTACCGACCTTCGCTTTGCGACCCGCCAATCAGTTGTTCCACGGCTTCAAAATGGCCGCCGGAAGCCCCAAAATGGCCACGTGCAGCGTTTTCGTGCCCTCGTTAAGCGAGGGGAGGTCGCAAACATGGCTGCCGGCCATAGAGGAACATTGCTGTACGGTGAGTAAATCAGCCGATTGGAACGCATTAAACTAAGTTTAATGCATTCCAATGGCTTTTTTCTTTCCGTACAGCGATGTTTCACACAGCGAGGGTTAATCTGGAACGGATTAACCTCGCTGTGCGAGGCACTACTGTACAGTGTTAACAGGAATAGAATGAAACAAAATATATCAACACCAGCAGGCCTGAGGGTCAAACTACAAGAGCCTGTAATCTGATTTTTTTTTTGGCAAGGTATACAAGGGGATCTAAACAAAATCCCTGCCAATATTACATATGTATATATGTAAATGCTTATTTAATTTGGGTGAAATGAAGGCTGGTATTACTAAGAACTGGCCTCCACTTATTTTTGGCCCCAACTCTAACTGCCTGAAATATCAGTTTTTTCTTTCTGAAATCAAACCAATTTCTGTCCTCTAATAATTTTTCTGAACTCTTTCCTTTTTTTTAGTGGTTTGGCCAGGACCTGTGTCTTGTTTTCAGTCAAATTCACATTCATATTCATGTCAGTCAGTCAGTCCGTCCGTCCATCTGTCCATCCAGCCAGCCTGCCCATATGGCTACTAGTCCACTCTGGGTGGTTTATATATTAAACATACACAATTCCCAACAATAAACATGATAGTATAAACCCAAAATAAAGATAAAACAATTTAAGTAATAATCATTAAAATAATATAAAATAATATAGAGCAAGACAGCAGGACTGACAGTATAAATCTTGAGACCAATCACTAAGGCGTTGTAATTAAGGTGTTGTAAGGTCTGGGAAGGCCTGCCGAAAAAGCCATATATTTAACAGTCACTTAAAAATTCCCAATGATGAGCCAGGTGGATTTCAGGTGGGAGGTTATTCCAAAGCTGAGGAGCGACAGCCGAGAAGGCCTGGTTTCTAGTTCTCTCTTTCCAGGCCTCTCTCGGGGTCAATACTCTCAACCACCCGGCCTGAGAAGATTGCATGGTGTAAGCAGATCTCTTCAGGAGGAGGCGTTCTGTCAGGTATTGAGGCCCTAAGCCATTTAGGGTTTATAAGTTGACACCATCACCTTGAAGCCGGACTGGGCAATCCACCTTAAGATGGAAGTAGGCAGAATGGACCGCAGATGCTATTGAAGCTCCACTGACAGCGCTGGGTCCAATAGTACACCCAAGCTGTAAATCTCATCCTTAGTGGAGAGTAGCCCCCCCAGGAGAGGGAGGCACCAAATCCAAGAACACTAGGGGAACCTACCAACAGGATCTCTGTCTTGCCTGGGTTCAGCCTCAGTCTATTATCCCTCATCCACTGCAGCACGGCATCCAGGCAGCGCTCAAGGGACAGGACAGCATCCTCTGCAGAAGGGTGAAAGGAGAGATAGAGCTGGGTGTCATCCGCATATTGGTGACACAAAGCTCCAAAACTCCTGGTGATCTCCCTTAGGGGCCTCATATAAATATCAAACAGCATTGGGGAGATCATCGACCCCTGAGGGATTCCATAGTTAAGAGTCCAAGGGGTGGACCATCATCTCGCCGAGCTGTATTCTTTGTGGATGGTACTTGACGAAGGACTGGAGCCAGGCCAAGGCCAGGTCACTAATCCCCAACCCAGAGAGAGACATTCCAGGAGGATATCGTGGTTGACGTACTGAAGGCTGTTGACAGGTCGAGGAGGACCAACAAGGACATTTTGCCCATCGGTCTCCCTGAAAAAGTAATCTTGCAACGCGACCAATGCTGTCTCCATATCATGGCACAGCCTGAAACCGGACTGGAATGGATCAAGGGCATCGGTCTCCTCCAGGAGTGTGTGAAGCTGATCAGCCATCCAAATATGCTAAATATATTCTAAATATCTTAATATATCAGATCAGCTAATCTAAATATTCTAGATATAATGGCCTACAACCTGGACAAAGGTGATAGAAAATAACTCTGCCTGATTTCCTTCCAATCCCGCTCTTTTTTCATAGTCAACCCAACTACAGTCTACTCAGGAAAGACCCTTAAGGTAAGCTTTCAACTGGGCTTAAAAGAAAAGCAAGTAATATTCTACCAACCCATTCCACAAATACATGTCTTGTTGTAAATTAATAAAAACTGCAAGTCCTTCAAACTAATTACTTAATTTTCTCCAACATCAGAAAAGACCATCTTTCTCAATCCAATCAGGGATAACAGAGAACATCATTTTTTCACAAGAAAAAGAAAGAACAATGAAACAAGCAAGCAGTATTCTGTTGGAATCCAAAAAAGACAAACATACTGCTACATAGACATCTTCTAATGCCACACATTCTGCCTATTTCTAACAAAGTAGCTACGTTAGTCTGTTGGCAAAATTTAAGGGGGAAAAGAAATCAAAACAATGGGAAGGTAAAGAAAAAAGAAAAAAACCATGGCACTTTAAAGATTTGTTTCAGCACGAGTTCTGATGGTTAAAATTCCACTTTTTAAGCTTAGTATAGAATAAATGCCCTATACTTTGATTTTCTTTTAATGCTTACTGTCTAACAGGCAACGGTTCCCCTTGACATTTAGTCCAGTCGTGTCCGACTCTAGGGGGCAGTGCTCATCCCTGTCTCCAAGCCGTAGAGCCAGCGTTTGTCCGTAGACAGTTTCCATGGTCACGTAGCCAGCGCGACTAGACGTGGAATGCCATTTCCTTCCCACCATGGTGGAACCTATTTATCTACTCACATTTACATGGTTTTGAACTGCTAGGTTGGCAGGAGCTGGGACAAGCTATGGGAGCTTACTCCGTCACATGAATTTGATTTTATGACTGCTTGGTCTTCTGACCTTGCAGCACAGAGGCCTCTGCGGTTTAACCCGCAGCGCCACCACTTCCCTTAGTCTAACAGAGGAATAGTTAATGTTATTGTGCTTGTAAGTATCTTTCTGTATGTATTTCTGACATATAGGCAGACATATGCATCAGGTGTTTTGTGGCACTGATAGGAGTATGGTGGAACCACAGATCCAACAAGGAGTAAAGTTAAAACTGAAAATGAACTGCATTACCCTTTTCTAGAGAGACCCTTACTCCAATGTGTATGAGTTATGGGCTTGAGGTTTCTGCTACATAACTCTTTGTGCAATGAGTCACACAATGGTATGATACAGGATCAGTTCTAGAAAACTCCATGCACAGGGATTTATATTATGCAATTATCCAACAGGATAAAGACTTCAGAGTGGTGTCCTCTCATAGTTTGGAGTTGGGTTGCAGATAATATACCAGAAAGATAAACCAGTACTGCTGTAAACATAACACATGAATATTGTCGTTGTTTAGTTGTTAAGTCGTGTCCGACTCTTCGTGACCCCATGGACCAGAGCACGCCAGGCCCTCCTGTCTTCACATGAATATTACCTTTGGGTTTTTGCCCTCTTTGGCCAGTAACGCACGAAGTCGCTCTTGTGAAGGTGGTGCAATGAAGATAATGTATGGTTTCAAGTCTGAATTACGTAGGCTCTTCAGAGACTAATAGGAAATATAAATGAATTCTATTAATATTTATACAGAATAAACCCAAACCATTATTCATATTGATTATCCCCTGCTTACAATTATAACATTACACAGAAACAGTGAAGTTCTACACTGATTATGGATGAGGTTCATGCTATGTGAAATAGCACGGGGAATCATGGAACCCTGAGACGCTCCACAGGCTAGTGGTCAAGGTGTTGACCAGGAGCCCCCAGCACCACTACAATTCATAAAGTGACACCATGCAAAGGAAAATCCCAGAAACTGACTCCTTTTTTCATCAAACACTTTTCACCTAAACGGGCTGTTTTTCAACAAGTATGAAGGGTAGTGAGTAGAAGAGAGTAGACCAACGGTTCCCAACCATTTTAGCCCCGTGGACAGGCTGGGGAAGGCGGGGCACTCCTTGTGCATGTGCATGTGCAAAGTAGCAGACATTCTCTCGGGCACTTGTGTGCATGCGCAAAGGGCAGTGCAGCACTCGTGCGCAAACAGGCTGTGCCGGGGGGAGTGCATACAGGGGTGGGGTGGGAGGTCTGTCTCCATGGCCCGGTCTGGCTCAGGTGGACCGGGGGTTGGGGACCTCTGCTGTAGACCATCTTGACTACAGCCATTAGTGTTGTCAACATTCAGCTGCCCTTTGCTATGTAAAGCTTGGCATCCTTTTTCCTGCTGGCAACACGGGCACAATATTTTGCAGTAATACTGGGCCATTTCCTGGCTTTTTGAATCATGGGTACAGAAGCACAATATCCTACATTCATAAACAGGAGGTTTTCTTTTGAAAAACCGAATGACATCCCAACAGCATGATAAACAATACTTTTGCAAAGTGTTGTTTATAGGGTAATTTTCTATTTCTTCACATCTAGGCAGAAAGACACAGATCACACAATTCAATGATTGGCAACCTATGGCCCACAGACCTCTATATTACTTTTAAATCCTACATGGCTTGGGAACCACGTACTTAAGGGAGTTTCCCTACTATAGGCATGAAACTGTCTGGACCTGCCCTTTCAACTGTTAAAATTGTTCATCTGAAATGTATTAGGAAAAATATCTTTTCATGTTGCTGCTCTTATGATCTGGGACTGTTTCTGAAATCCTACAAATATGGTGATATTGGAGGGATTCAAAAGAGGATGTAAAGCAGAACTGTTTTGCTGCATCTTTGAATACCGCTATTTTTTTTACGATCTGTGTTTTTACAACTTACATGAAGTACTTTTGCTATATGTTTTACTATTTTGATTAATTATGATGAATGTTGTTCTGGGTGTCCTTGGACAAACAAATTGCAATAAAAGGGAATAATAAATAAATGAATGAATGAATAAAAATGATACCTGAAAAGTTAGTTAGGGATTCTGAACAAATATCTCCCTAACCCAACTTTAGTGAAAACTGACAACTGCAACAATTTATCATCTGGAGTTGCTTTCCATTTTGCATGACAGATTGGTTACACTGGTACTTGGCTGTGACCAAAGTAAGAACATAAAGTCTGCAAGATGAACTGACATATATTCATTTCTTCTTTAGGGACATACATATTTTTGTATGTCTGCTGTGGCAAACACTTGGACAGGCTGTGTTGCAAAAGAAAGCCAAGGAAACTGTCTCTAAAATCTGGAGGTATTCAGGACAAAGTTTTATGGAAACTAAAACTGATAACTCAATATATACAGCCACTGAAGGGATGAAGTGGGCAATTCATTGGCAAATTTCCTGCCCACACAGAAACAACCACAGATGGATATTAGGAAAGTTACATAAAATGTTCCAGAAAAATTAGAATTATCAGTTCCTGAACTAAATCTGATACCAATAACAGTGCTTTCAAATGGAACTACTACAATTGAATGCTAATGTCCAAAAATGACTTCCATTACCTGTGTATGAAGGTTTAAAAGACATATTTTCCCAGAATTGATCACTTGCCGGACAGAGTCTATGCTGGTACCGTAAAGATTTTTCTCAAATTCACCATGCTCAATAAATTTTCCAGCTGCTATGTCAGCTTCAAATGCTTGTCGTGATACAAAATGGTAATCTCTGCCAGCTACTTCATTTTCTCTTCTGTTTCGTGTTGTATCTGATAAAGGCCAGTGAATAAACCAAAGTTAAGATCTGTAAATTCTTGAACTGGGGAAATTGTAAAAGACATTTTTGCATCAAGATACTTAACAGGGCTAACAGATAATAATGACTTGGAAAAAAATCTCTTTAAGCAGAACACTCTTGTAGTAAATTAACAATGTTGATCTTTAGAGTCTTTCATCCAGAAAGGATTATAAACCTTTAACTGCAATGAAAAATAGTTCTATTATGCAGCAGTCTCTGGCAGATGTCCAGCTATGCGTAGTACATGCCCAGTCATGCAAACGTACTCAGCACAAACATTTATCACATGAAGCAGAGAATGTCACATGCAACTGAAACAGGAATATACAGGGTGGCAAAATGACATTCTTGAAAATTAGGTTTTAATTCAGTTTAGTTATTGGTTCATTCTTATGAATGGGTCAAAGCACCCTCTCTAAGGCAGCAGTTTTGAAAGATAGCTAGCAATCATATACATAGAAGAGTTCACTAAAGCAGTTTCCCAATACACCAATGTATATATAATGTGCACTTAGGGGACATGTTTTTTTTTAATTAGAAAGGAAACAATACATCCAACCCTTTCAACTTACGAGGAACTGCAGAAGCAAACCGGTCAGCTTCATTATTCAGTAACCTTTGCCTCAGTTCATTTTGACCACAGTTCTGTGGACCAATCAGAACAATGGGTCGTTTTCTATTTGCTGGTTGGTGATAAAGTGACATTTCCTCATAAGTCAAGATCTCCTCATTGTCGTAATCTTTAAAAGAAAAATCAATTTTGAATCTTCTGATTTCTGTGACAACATTTGTTTTGATTCAGTAACTGCTAAGAAATGTTATGCATTTTTGTTAGTATAATCTTGTGCCGAATCCATTTCAATCTCCAGATGATCAGATGTCATGTAGAGCAGTGGTCCCCAACCTTTTGGGGGCTGCGGACCAGCTGGGTGAAGTGAGCTCCATGCATAGGGGGGTCAGGGGCACCCCTGTGCGAGCGCAGTGGGCGTGTCATGCCTTTAGTGGGCGTGTCGTGTCTGTAGGGGGCCTGCCGCGCTCATGTGCATGCAAGCACAACCCCCAGGTGCAACACACCCACCACGCAAGCGCAAACCCCCCCCGCACGGTCCTGCCAAGGCAACGGCCCGCTACTGGGCTGCGGACTGCGGGTTGGGGACCTCTGACCTAACAGACTGCCATCTTTTGTATAAATGCCTGTTTTATCTTTATGTGGAAATTGCTGCTCAGTATGCCATGCCCAAGTAAGGTTCATTTGGTGGAGATATGGAGGAGAGTCTTCTTTGTTGTAGCATACATCATGCTGAATGATCTCTCCATTAAGATCACATGGGCTTCCACAGTGGAGTTTTCTGCTATCAATTGAAGATGGATTTGTTTAAGTGTTTTCTTGACTATTCACCAGTTCTGCTTATTTTAATGATATAAATTTGCAATATAACTGCTGCCTTACTTCGTTAACAGATTTTATTATATTTTAATTATTTTTACTGTTCTGAGGATTTTAAAAATTAGTAGGCAGTAGTTTAAAATCATTCTTAATAAATAATTAATATGCTATGGCACACAAAATAAGAACATTTGAGTTTAATGGGAATACGTTTCATAAAAGTACTAACAAACAATGGAACGTCAGTAAATGCACTATGTGCTTCTAAATATTGACAACAGGTTAAGATTTTGCCAGTGTAAAATGATCTATCTGTAATACAGCGGATAAGCTCAAATACTTTAAAATATTAGATATCTAAAAATACTCAATTTTTAATTTTAAACTATTGAAGTCAGTAGGCAATTGGACACAAGCAACACTTAGTCAATGACATAACAGGTAGTGATTGACATTTAATAAAGTCATGATTTATGTACCTTATTTAGCAAATGCAAATGGACTTAGTGCTCCCTGCACTACATCACTCAAGGATAAGGGGTATGTGTGTATATATGCATGTGTACATGCATACACACACACAAATATGATAATCAATGCACAACAGAGCTTTGATGATTCTCTAGAATAAAAAAAACTTTGAAGAATAATAAAGTGATAAAGTATCTATCTTAGTAGATATTTTATTTATCTAGAAAAAATATTGAAGTCAATTGACTTCTTCTTACCATCATTTTTATTTGCATTATACAATACTTTCTTCCGTTTCTTTTTGTTTTTCTTTGCACACCAAAGTTTTCCTAGAAGTTAAAAAAAGTCAAAGTAGTTTGAATAGAAAATGAAGTTCTTCTGGCTGGATTAAAAATCAATACATCTCAACAAAGCACATAACTATAAGGTGTTTCACAAATACAACATGCAAAACAGATCCTCCTAATAGGTTTGCAATCTAAAGGACAGACAGAGACATATTAGGAAGCAAGAAAAGAGGAAAGAGATAAGGCATTGTGAAGAAGACTATTATGGCATTTAAATGCCAAAATAGAGGATTGTTGTTATATAAAGAAAACCTAACAGGTGTTTTTGTAAATATCTAACAATTTGTTGTTGTTTTGTTGTTTAACCGTTCAGTCGTGTTTGACTTTGTGACCCCATGGACCAGAGCACACCGGGCCCTCCTGTCTTCCACTGCCTCCCAGAGTTTGGTCAAATTCATGTTGGTTGCTTCAATGACATGCCCAACAATCTAACAATCGGCCATGCTAAATACACTAATAGCCAAAGCAAGTTGAATCTTTGGCCAAAATTCTGTGGATGGTTTCTGTGCATACAACAGCAATTGTGCAGCAGGTTCTTCTCACCTTGCAAAGCACTGTTCCCCCTCATACAATCATTTGTTTGGCTAATTTTGCAACCGGTTTAAGACGAAGTACACAAAGGGGAGTTTGCCAGACTGGGAATGTTATGTGTTTGCCCTTATATGGCCTCATAATTGAACAGGAATCTTGCTGCACAGATTTAGAGTGCTTGTTTTGTCCATCAGTATTAAAGAACTATTTATTTATTCAAAATATTTATACCACACCCTTCTCCTCAAAAGGGACCAAGGTATTTTACAATATTAAAACAAGCATTATTAAAATCTTAAAAACAGTTGTAGGATGGAGAGAAAGACTTCCTGGTGATCTTAAAACCAGGAAAGGCTCATATAGGGGAATGTAATATTTCAGACAGCATGTATACAAGTTTTGTTTAGGTCAAATACTACACTCTGAATAGTGCCCAGAAACAGATAGGCAGACAGTGGAGTTACTATAACAGTGGAGTTATGTGATCCCTGTAACCAAGCACAGTTATTCATCTGGTTGAAACATTTTGCACCCGCTTCCAATCATCTTCCAAAGGCAGCCACACATAGAATGAGTTAACACCATCTAGCATAGGCTGATTCACTGATCTGTCTTTTGATTAACCAGGAGCATATCCATCTTGTATGAATTAAGTTTCAGTTTATTCACTCTCATCCAGTCCATTATTGACATCAAATACCGATTTAGAACTGAAACAAATTCCTTGGATTTAGATGGAAAGGAGAGAGAAGAAATTGATATGTCATCTGCATAATGGTGACACTGAACCCCAAAACTCCAGAAACCTCTCCCAGTAGTTATGCATGTCGAATAGCACTATCATCAACAGTTTTGTGTCAATAAGACCGCAAGCATATAGAAAAGTTTAAATGTCCTTTGGCAAAAATCTTGTTCTGTGTAAGACTGATAACGCGGACATTTTCAGCAATTGTTCAGAAATTAAAATGTCCTATTATGCCCTGAGGCTTAATGAGCTTCACCAATCAAGGTCCTACCTTTAAGTGTTGGCATATATTGTTAGTGTCTCAGAAGAGCTGTGTAGGCAATTCAGCTCATCTTTATACATGTGTAAAGAATTGTGGATATGCATTCATTATCATTATCATGTTTCTTTTAACATTATTATAGTATTATAGAAGCTGCAGCCATTTCTTGAAGATTTTCACCTACCTGACTTTTCTGGCTCTTTGTCTTCCTCTATAGTTTGCTTCATAGCTTCTCTTTGCTGTTGGAAACTTTTTCCTAATGGAAGAGTACAAACACAAAGATAATTAGTAATGGGAAACAATCTTCACAGCCATTAAGAAATACATTTTCAAGAGTGATTGTATTTCAAAATGGTTTGATATTTTGATATCTTCTCCCAAAAGAGTGTTGAATTGAAAAAAGAGTTGCCTCTGCATTCACATTTTTGCATTTTTAAAACTGTGAAGTGGAAGGTATTTACAGGATTAAGGGTATGTGCTTTTGACCACATCTTTTCTTCCCCAATTCTCCGCCAAAGGAGGAGACTACGGAACAATAATTTATCGCCGGTTTCCACAAAACAAAAATACAAGTACAGGTAAAATTTAAAACCTCTTGCATGTCATTAATTCATAGGCTTACCATATGTCAGAAGTAGTGCAACAGCAAATAACACAAAACTTTAAAAATACCTCAAATCTTTCCCACAAACCACAGGGTCAAATCCCATTAAAATTTAGATACTATGCTTTTAACTATAAAGGAAGCAAAAATAATGGGAAGCAGTCTAGTTGCCAAAAAGCAAAACAAAACATTAACCCTCCCCTGACTTTTATAATGTTACAATGGCTAGTGGGATGCTAATGAAAAAAATTGCACAACGTCTCAATGTATATTAATCATTTGTAGTTCAACTGTATTAACTGCAGGTTTCAAACACAACACAAAACATAGGAAGATAATGCATCTTAAAATTTTCCTGTCAAATATGTCCACTACATTTAATTTGCTTACCAAAATCATCGAAACAGGAACACAGTGTTATTGCCAACAAGACAAAAAAAACCCTCTACTACATCTGCCATTATTTAAACCAGTATTCAGAGCTCTTGTCCAATATTCCACTGCTAGCCCCAACTTGAGTAGAACTACTGACTCAATGGGATTTACATAAGTGTTACAACCTGTGGTGGAACCCCAATGTCACACCTGTCTATCATGGAGAGCTCAAGAGCAGGAGCCTATGAGAGGACAGGAGAGGTGGAACCTAAAGGACAGTTAGACAGTTAGATAGACAGTTAGGGAGGAGAGTTGGAGAAAAGAGGTTTGAGATAGGGAATTGGAGAGAAAGAGAGTTAGGAGATTGAATTGAGGAAGTTTAGACAGAGACTGGAAAGCTGTAATGCTAGAGAGAATAGGAAAGACTTCAAAAACCTAGAGAATAACTAGATAGTCAACGAAGAGTGAAAAAGTTAATGAAAACAAATAAACCAACGTGAAATCAAATGATGTTTAATGAATGATCATAAACATCTGTGATTTTCTCCTGTGATTTGCATAACATCTATAATATCAATGAACCTGTTGTATTGGCCGCACATGCATAAGAGCTATCTATTTGGTATTGAGGGAATAATACCTGGTGGCAGTGTGAAGTGAGGAAACACATCCAGAGGGTGGACTTGTGTTTAAGGCAAAATAAACAAAGGACATTGGATGGACGTCATAAACCATTCAACAATTTAAAAAACATGTCTGCTCTAGTATGAACTAAAAACAGGACATTGTGTCAGAGTATAAAATTTACAGGCCTGAGCAGAACAAATGTATTAATGAGCAGCCATGATGTTCAGGTGTATAAAAATGCTGAGTCACAGTGACTCAGGAGGGCTGGCTCAAAGATGATGCAACATCTGTACTGAATGGATACAGCCAGATGCATAAGTGTATATATGTGGACTGTGTAGAGAAGATGTATTCCTGCTCTTCTGGTGAATTCATGGTGTCATGCTGTCGCTCTGTATATTTGTAAATATCCTGTAAATACACGTCTGGTGCTGGAAGAACCTGATCGTGTCTGAGTGAGACATTTTGTCACCAGGACCTTGAAGTTACTCTGCTAAAGTTCCACATGTTCACACTCTAACACACTGGCCCTTACATTAAAGCTTTTTTATTCAGTGTACCTAACTTGCTTTCTCTGAAAGAGAACAAAACTGGGATTGTAGTGATACAGAAGCTCAAACTACTTCAATGGTTAAATACCTGGAATAAGGCCTGCCAAAGGCTGATTTTCTTCATCTCCATCCCGATAGGCCTGCCACCAATTTGGATCTTCTTGGCTAATCACATGGAGTATATCTCCCTTTTGAAAGGACAGGCCTAACTCTCTGCAAGGGACATAGGGGTCATCAGATGGATCATAGTCAAAGTGAGCTTTCACATGGATCTAGGAAACAAAGAGGTATAAAAATAAAAATACTCATTCCAAGGATTCCACTCTCAATTCAAAGGTAGAATGAAGAGGTCCTACATCGGCAGATGTGCAAGCTACAAATATGGGAAACAATTAATTACAACTCCATTCTCAAAGGCTGACAGTAAATAAGAACTGGAAAATGGAAAAACAAACAGATCCGATTCTGAAAGCATTTAAATTGTATCAGCATTTGAGTTTGCTACAGGGTGGAAAGATTGCAAGACTTTTTTTTAAAACTGAGAACATTATTCTGCATAATATATTTGGACTGGAAAATCTTTCCCAACACTGACCCCCAAAGACACAAACTCAATTTAAACCAGCAAGCTGAATACAAACCACCTCATCCCTCATGAATTATCCATTCTGTGATCATTTTCAGTGACAAATAAACCAGAATATAGATCAATTGGAGACATGTAAACAATTTAAAACAATGCTTTATCTCCCACAAGATAAAACACGATCACTACTCTCTTATCAAATCCAGTCATACACGGAGATGTACATATGAAATCTGCATATCATGCTGCTTCTCCACAGCATTGCTGGATAAGTCTGCATTAGAATAGTCTGGTAACTGGTGCATGGGCAGAGCTGTCCCAATGTCCTATTCTGTGGCTGGCAAGATTTATCATGTGATCGGGTTAGATGTGTCAGGTTAACCCAGCTAGTGCCAGAATACCTTCCCTTCCCTGGAGTCTCACAAAATTTCATACACATCCTGAGGAAAAAATCAGAAGCCTGTGTTCCTCACAGCTGGCATTCATCCCAATAAAGGGTTAATTCCACGACACAAAACTGATGCAACCAAAACCTGGTATACAGTGGTGCCTCGCATAGCGATCGCTCCGTTTAGCACCGAAATCGCTTTGCGATGCATTTTTTGCGATCACAAAAGCGATCACTTTGCAATGTTCCCTATGGGGGAATTTCCCTTTGCGATGATCGGTTCCCTGTTTCGGGAACCGAGCATCGCAAAGCTGATCGGCGGTTTCAAAATGGTGGCCGGGTAAACAAAATGGCCACCAGCTGTTTTCTGGGACGGATTCCTCGCTTAAGAAGCACCAGAAATGGCCGCACTATGGAGGATCTTCACTGAACGGTGAGTTTTAAGCCCATTGGAACGCATTAATTGCGTTTTAATGCGTTTCTATGGGCTTTTTTATTTCGCATTGTGAAATAAGTTTTCGTTCTGCAGCGATTTTTGCGGAACGAATCAACGTCGCAATGCGAGGCACCACTGTATTTTCAAACTACAGTTATAATATAATACAGCCTATTCTTTAATATAGGAGAAACATGACATTTTAAAATAGCAACAACAAAACACAACCAACAGAATTAAGTTCATTCTATAATATAAACGCACTACAACAACATACCACAGTCTCCTTAGTAGGTGGTGGTTTGCTCTGCTGACTGGGGATCAGCACAAATGTCAGTGTGCCATGCATGTCCGCCTGTGAAGAAAAGCATAAATAAGTGACTATTTAAAGCAATGTTAATCCTAGCAGCAGTCTTTTGTTTGCATGGCAAGCAACTATGATTTGGGTGGGCAAAGGAATTTCAATCACCATCTTTGCTAACCTTTCTTCACTTTCAATTCTAACTTCAGTTTCCCAGTCTTCATTTGGAAAAGCTCCGGCATACATCTATAAAGTACTATTGCCTTCTTTTCAGATATCAACCAGGCCCACCTCGCAAAGTATAAGGAATTATTGAACAATAAGAGTGCTTTAGACCACTGAAGGGAGACAGAATACTTTATTTGATAGGTTTGCTATTTAATCTAGAGGGGGCAGTTCTTTGATTTATTTTTTCAGTCCCAGCTCTGACCGTCAACAGGCAGGGCTGGCACAGACATTGCACTCCTATGAGAGATGTTAGGATAAGGATTAGAATAAAGCAGATGGAATTTCTAGTGATGCATGACTGGAATTTGCTAAGTTAATGGGAACAGCACTCACAGCCAAAGTGAAGATGAACAAAGTGAGTATGTTCCTTATACAGTACCATTTATAGTACTTTAAAAAGATCAGGGATGACAGGATCATATCTCAGGAAGCTTATAATTTAAAACAAATGCAAGCAAATAACAGAAGGAGGAGAAATAAAAGAAGAGATATGCAAAGGAAGAGTCTGATTAGTTCAGCTATACAACTTTGGGTTTACTTACAATATGACAACATAGTAAGATACAATGAAGTAAAGGATAATACGTGTCAGTTAGTGCAAGAAGTCTGAGGGATGACGAAAGGGGAAAAAAGGACTGTGACCCTGGTTTGGACAAGGGAACAACAATTACAAATGGAAAACAAGAAAAGAAGTAGGAAGAGATGGCACAACACCTACTCTCCCCCCAAAAGGAGAGGAGAAAAAGAAATGGAAGAAAAGCAAAAACATAGATCTATGAGGTTAAATCTGTACCAGACACCATTTAATTGCACTCCATTTTAATTTTTCAAATAGTTATTTTGGCTGCACTATGAGTGTCTGATGCAAGCCCTGGCTATTTACGGGCAAGTTTGATTTAGAGATGGCACAACACCTACTCTCCCCCCAAAAGGAGAGGAGAAAAAGAAATGGAAGAAAAGCAAAAACATAGATCTATGAGGTTAAATCTGTACCAGACACCATTTAATTGCACTCCATTTTAATTTTTCAAATAGTTATTTTGGCTGCACTATGAGTGTCTGATGCAAGCCCTGGCTATTTACGGGCAAGTTTGATTTAACGATCGCAAAACGATGTTCCTATGGGGAAAAATCACTTAACGACGATCGGTTCCCTGCTTCGGGAACCAATTTTTCACTAGACAATGATTTTAAAACAGCTGATCGGTGGCTTTAAAATGGCCGCCCGCTGCGCAAAATGGCTCCCCGCTGTGCTTTAGGACGGATTTCTTGCTTTACAGGCACCAGAAAATGGCCGCCCTATGGAGGATCTTCGCAAAATGAGCAGGTATTTCGCCCACTGGAACACATTGAACCGGTTTCCAATGCATTTCAATGGGTTTTTTAATTTCGCTTGACGAGGATTTTGCTTAATAGCGATTTGAACGGAACGAATTATCCTTGTCAAGCAAGGCACCACTGAAATAATGCATAGAATTTTTAGATTTTTATCTCCTGTTAGAATTGCATTCAATATTCTTTAAATAACACAATTTTAAGAGGCAAAGAACCCAGTTTCCACTTTCAATTAGAAAATTACCCAGCTTCCAAATTGAGCTGGTTAACCATGTTCCTTCAGAGTCAGTGTTGTTACTCTGCAAGAAAATAGACCTTTTTCCTGATTCAGTGGCTGAAGTCCCATTGCTCAGCATATTAAGGCACAATTAGAGTAGGTCCACTGAATCAATGGAACATGCAGATGAGTCGACACATCAGATTCTCATGGATTCTATGGTTCTGTTCTAGTTCCTGCTTCTTACAATGAATCTTACACACCATGTAAGAGAACCATACCTGCTTATTATGCTACTGAGATCAGGTTTACAAGTGTAGAAGACTTAGCTATCACGAAGAACTTTTTATTTAATCGCTGTGTTATGTTTTTAATTGTTATACTGCTGATAACACGATTACTGTTTACATTACAGTAATTTAATCTGTTCCAGGTAGAATCTGAATCAATGCATCTCACTCCATGTTCTATTTTTGGGAGTAGTCATGGCTTTTTCTATAATAGTGGTTCCCAATCTTGGGTAATCCGGGTGGTCTTGGACTGCAACTCCAAGAAGCCTTCACTACGAGCTGTGCTGGCTGGGATTTCTGGGAGTTGCAGTCCAAGAATTACCCAAGGTTGTGAACTACTGCTCTATAATATGTTATCTTTGAGGTCAAGGCTTTTTCTGTAAGATATTTATGAATGTGGCCTAGGAGTCAAACACAGAACAAAAAAATCACCAATAAACAGAACTTTTCCATGCAAGACAGACTGTATCTACTGAAATCCTAACAGGAAGATGCTACCAAAACCAAAATAATGCCTCATAAGACTGGAAACATTCAATATAGATTATAACCTCCAAGAAAGAAAATGCCGAAGAGTGCAGTGACTAGGACCAATGCAGTAACCTCTCATGCCAGAATGGTGATGTTTGAGGTAATGCAAAAAAGTCTTTTATCATATATGGAGCAATTAATTCCTGATATTAAAGCTGGATGCAGAAAAGGAAGAGGCACTACAGATCATATTTAAACAACTGTGTACTACTGGAATCCATCAAGGAATCTCAGAAGGAAATTATGCAGTGTTTCATACATTAAAGCAAAGCCTTTGATTGTGTGGATCATGAAAACAATGTTAATTGGTTCCAAAAAAAACATCGCTATGGGAAAACATCCTTAAGCGAAACACCATTTCCCATAGGACTGCATTGAAAACCGGTTAATCCGTTCCAGTGGGAACGGATTACCGTCCTTAAGCGAAAATCCCCATAGGAAACATCGCTAAGTGAAACAATGTTTCCCCCATCGGAAAGCTATTGAAATACATTGAAGCCGACTCAATGCATCTCAATGGCTTTTTCGATGTCCGTTTTCGCTCATTTTTAAGTGTCTTAAAATGTTTGAAACCTGTTATAAATGGTTGGAATCGGTAGCGCACCTTGTGAAACCTACGCACACTTAGTTTGGCTTTGTTCTGAGTCTTCGTTAATTTTTGGTGATTTTTTGTTTTCCCCATTTAAATCCATTGAATGGACAGTCCAATGCTTTTCAATGAGGTGGACTAACTATTCCAAGCATTTAAAACAGGTTTCAAACCTTTTAAGACAGTTTTAAATGAGCAAAAACGGACATCGTTAAGTGAAATTCCCCCATAGAGAAAATCGTTAAACGATGCAGTAAATTCCTCAAAGAAACCCATCGCAAAGTGAATACATCGTTAAACGAAGCAATCGCTAAGCAAAGCACCACTGTAAATGGGTGGGCCACAACATTTGACTATCCTGATGTGTAACCTATATTCTAGATAAGCCATTATAGTTAGGACAAGCTACAGAAAAGTACATCACTGGAAATGACAATAATGCTGGGAGTCATCGAAGGCAGCGGGAAAAGAGGAAGTCCAAACAATAGACATATTGACACAATAAAGGAAGTCATAGCCTTGAATTTGCAAGAGCTGAGCAAGGCTATTAATGACAGGACATTCTGGAGATCACAAATCTGAAGGATCTCCTTAAGTCTGAAGCAACTTGATGGCACAATATATGAAACCCAACGCTGGCAGATATATGTTCTTTCCTACTGTCATTTTAGAAGCATGTCATTTTAGCTTCTAACGAGAGTTCAGGCTTGATTTGCTCCTGATCACACTGATTTATATTACCTAATAGTATTCCTCTGGAAATTAGTTCTAGGTCTAGAGTGTGTTGGTCTTTCATGGAGAAGACTTTCAGAATGGATTAATATTTGCCAACGGTGCTGTCATTAATGCTGTAAATACAGAGGACCATATCAAGATGTTACTGTCCTCTGACATTAGAGTATGCAGTGAGACACTGGGTAAGGTGTTCTCTAAGTATGCAAAGGTGAACTCATTAAAACATAGCTTAAGAAAAACAAACCAATGCCTATACAGGAGTTTAACAAATGTTAACGGTGCAATTAATACAGTTGGATTAAGTAAGAATATCTTAAGATAAGAAAAATATTCAAATATCCTGAAAGGAAGTAAAAGAATCAACATACCAGTAAGTCAAAGACCTCATTGACATCTTTCCCACGGATTTCAATTCCATTAATTTCCAGAACTTCATCACCTTCATGTAACAGACCACTCTTTTCTGCAGCACCTCCTTTTACTATTCGACTGATGATAACTGAATCCATTTCATTACGCACTGTAGCACCCTGAAAAAATTTGAGAGTAGAAATTTAAAAGTAACAGAAATATCTTGTAAGGTACAGCGATTAGAGATTGCATGGAGGAAAGTCTAGGTTCAGATCTCAGACGCTATTCTTCTCACAGCCTAAACAACTTCATGGGTTGTTGCAGAAATAAAAGGGTGAGGACATTATTTATGCTAAACTCTAGCTAAAGATGTGAAGGTATGAGAAAAAGCAGGAAATTTTGGAATGAGTTCTTTCCATTTTCTCTCTAGTAAAAATTTTTAAATTTTTCCAGTGGAAAAATAAACTTTGAGCAACACTTCAAAAAAGCCTATAAGTCTTTTCTTTTTCTGCATAAATAAAATATTTTATGACAATGATTTACTCACACAGAACTGCCTGCCAGCAACTGCCTAATATGGAAATTTGTATATTGGGCAACATACAGAATTAGAATGATAGTTCCTACGCATACTTTAGATACACACAGTACTCAAATCCAAACTGCATTTCTGCACCTAGCATTTTGTGCATATTGGTATATATATGTGAAGGCTTTGTAGCTTGTGCATTACTGTTTGCCTTTTTCAAGTGACATTTGCTCAGTCTGGTGGACACAGTTCAAGTACTTTGACCAGATTCCTGTAACATTTTGCAGCATTTGGTAAATAGGAAAACCAACTAACATCTCGTACACCTGGGGGGAGTATACTGGAATTTTCAGCATGCATACATTACTGAAACAGCGACGTCTACGCTGGCTTGGGCACGTTGTGAGAATGGCTGATGGTCGGGTTCCAAAGGATCTCCTATATGGAGAATTAGTGCAGGGAAATCGCCCCAGAGGGAGACCACAGCTGCGATACAAGGATATCTGCAAGCGGGATCTGAAGGCCTTAGGAATAGACCTCAACAGATGGGAAACTCTGACATCTGATCGTTCAGCCTGGAGGCAGGCAGTACATCACGGCCTCTCCCAATTTGAAGAGACCCTTGTCCAGCAGGCTGAGGCAAAGAGGAAGTCACAAAGGAAGCAAAACCAGGGAGCTGGACAGGGGGCAGATTGGATTTGTCTCCAGTGTGGAAGGGATTGTCACTCTCGAATTGGCCTCCTCAGCCACACTAGACGCTGTTCCAAGTCCTCCATACAGAGCACGATACCATAGTCTTTCGAGACTGAAGGATGCCTACTTTGCAGCACATACTCTGGGTTCACAGAGGAAATCAGTGTACACTGACCATCCTTGTGAATTCAACAACTCTAAGAGGATTTTGGCCCTTATTTTGTTTATTATAAAAGTTTGATAATTCTATAAATATGCTAAACAATACCAACTGTATATACTACCCAAATTATGAATGAAGCACTTTATGCTGCTAAAACTGAAAAACTGGTTTAGGTTTGCTAAGAAAGGATACACCATATGCTAAATTGCACCACACATTTCAATTTTTCCAAAATGTCTTTTTCCCTTCTTTTTAAAAAAACTTTAAAATATGAGAAATTGTATATCTCTTAACCAATCATGAGCAAGACTGAATAAGACAGAAACATAACAAACAATTTGATTAATTTCTAGAAGAAATTAAACATTTTCTTAATTTATATGCAATACTTTAGTTTTTACAGTTTGCGCATTGGAGAAAACAGATTACACAGAATGGTATATAGCAAGTTTATAGTCCATTGATCTATATCATATCTATTAAGAGACCCTGAAAGGATCTCTTCTGAAAGTTTTTTTTAAAGAACTAATTTATACTGTGTTTATATTGGTTCTTGGGTTCACTTTATTGTTCTTTTAAAAAGCATCAATTATTATGGATTTGCTAGTTGCTTTCAATTAAAAAAATGGGATAAAACCATTAAAGGTAGAAAAATAAAAGGATAGACTTCTATGCGCTTAATACATGAAAATAATACATACATATTTATATACTTATTCATTTATAAAAGGCATAGAGGTCCAGGGGTTTTACCTGCTCTTCTCTGGAGTTTTTTACAGCTCTTTAAAAAAAGGTGGGTGGTGAATGCCTACTATTCCCCTTGAGGGCATAAGGGAACTTTCTGAGCCAATTTATTTAAAAGAATTAAAAATATATATTTTGAATTTTGTTGGGAACATATTTTGGCCCTGGGATGTGTATGCAGACCACAGGCTGTGCATGCCACCTTGATAGCAAAAAATATATTCCACTATTTGACTGATTATACCCCATTCAGGATGACTTGCAGCAATTAAGACTGATTAGGAAACACAGCAACATTCCATAGAAATAACACTAGTGACAAAACAGACAGGTTCAGAAGACAGCATAAAGACTAAATAGAAAATTACCTACACACTAAAAAAAAAGTCTTGCTAAAATTAGAAAGTTTCTGCCATCAACTGGAATATGACAAGAGAGAGAACTTATAAAGCAGTGGTCCCCAACCTTGGGCGTCCAGATGTTTTTGGACTATACCGCCCAGAAGCCTTCACCACCACCTCTTCTGGCCAACATTTCTGGGAGTGGAAGTCCAAGAACATCTGGAGGCCCAAGGTTGGGGACCACTGTTATAAAGCAACTGAGCCTCACAAAGGAAATGATTCCTCAGATAAAAAAGACATAAAGCAGCAACTGTCAGAACCCTGACCCCACAGTTGATTCTATCTGCAGCAATTGGAATAGTACTTGTGTGGTTAAATGAGATCTGGTACTAACAATTGTTCTTTTGATTACCAAAGGGGAGAAAAAATCCAGAGCTTTCAGATGACAGTCCCTTTTTCCTTTCCTCTTCCCAACATAATGAAAACTGTGATTTCATGGTTGTGCAGTGGCAAAAGCAAAGTGCAGTTACAGACAAAGAAACAGTAAAATGGCAATGGAATGAGCTTTGGTGTCCTCTTCATATCACCATGAGAGTAACTGAGGTCAAGATAAAATGGTGCAACCCAAGCATTGATCAAATTCTATTACTTCTCCCGTCTGCGAAATCCACTGGCATAAGTTTCAGTTGTGAACTGCTGATTGTTAAGAATTTAGCATAGTCAAAGCAAAGCAAAAGTGTGTTACTTATATACCACCCTACAGTACTTAAAGCACTCTCTGGATGGTTTACAATTTAATTATGCAAGCTACACATCCCACCCTCTAGTGAGCTGGGTACTCAGTTCACCAATCTTGGAAGGATGGAAGGCTGAATAAAGTATGAGCTAGTTACTTGAGCCCATCAGGATCAAACTCATGTTGTGAGCAGAGTTTTGACTGCAGTACTGCACTGTACCACAAGGCTCCAAATTACACAACAGTTACATAACTCATCGTGTGACAATGGACAAAATCCTCATGCGTAAGTTTCTGTTGTAATTCAGATCAGGTGCTGATTTAACTTAAGCTCATGGAAAGCTTCCCATCCCCTGCTTTAGGTTCCAAGGCTCCAGAGGGCTCCCTTTTGCACAGGGGAAGAGTTTGGGAGTCTCAGGACAGGAGTGGGAACGTGTAGCTTGCATAATCTCATTAATGCTCAGTTTCCTAATAAATGTTTCCTATGTAAGAAGTCACTTCACAGATTTTCTTACGAGGAATAAAACAAATTTTCCTGTATAACCTAAGAAAGATGAATCATAACTAATCACATGTTATTCAGTTGCAACATTATAGCACAGAATCAGCAGTACAATAAAAAAGGTGAGTTGCACAAGCATCTCCTTCTTTATGCCTAAGAGGTTGTTTTTTGTTTTAAAGAAAAGACTGCATTCTCAATATCAGCCCAATTATTGAGGGTAATAAAAATGGGAGACATATTTTTATGACCTTGTCTCAGTTTACTCACCAATGGAATATCTCGAGCCTTTTCAATGCGAACTATTTTAACTGTCTCTCCTCCATAGAGACCAACATTCTCATAAATCTTTTCATCTGTCATTGGTTCTGGCTGCATTTCCTGCTCAGCAACTTTATCATGAGCTAAAAGGAGTGCCTGGGATAAAATAAAAGGTATAATTTATAGAGGATTTTATTCACTATACTGGAGCTACACTATACTGGGTAGAATCCTCTTGCCCTGCTACATGCTCAGTGGGATTTTTCTGGAGCTCATGCAAGAAGGTATCTAATACTCCCTTGTGCAAATATAAGCTCAGCTGGAACCAATGAAATGGTCTTCAACTTCTGCAACAGCAACCAGGAGATCACAGGAGCTTTGTGGCTGGAGTTTTTCACTTCATCCTCAGTAAACAGCATACTGGCCATCATGAAGGATGACTTAAACATTTTACAAGGCAAGATGAAGCCCAATGTTGTTTTCCCAGTGTTCTCACATAAGAGAGGCTATAATCAAGAACTGGGTTTTGAAAATGAATGCCACAGAAGACAGCCTTCACCAAAGTACTATTCCCACCTCACAAATTTGCAGTGCCTAGCCTGATTAAGTTTAATTGCATCTGTCCTGTAACAAAGCAACATAAAAGGATATTGCACATTCCTGTTATGTCTGACTTTGGGCTGTAAACATACACTTCTGTCACACAGATTTTACTTGAAAGTGACATTTTTCATGCATTGTATGATATACAGTGTGTTGTGAAGATTGCACTCTGGACGTTTTCACAGACCAAGGTACAAGCTTTTTTGTTTTAAACACAGCATTTCTTTGTCAGAAGGAACTGCTGTAGCCTAGAAGTCACACAAAACTCCAGCTCCATCTACAGATCCATCTTCCATGCAAATATTACTCCTTTAAACCATGTAGTTTTATCATATTGGAACAGAAAAAAGTAAATGTCAAAATACATTTACAATACAGATGTTAAGAAATAAATGTAAATGTACGATACATCACATCACAACTATTCCTACCTGAATATGAGGGGCATTCAGTAAAGAATTAAGTTCCAGTCCATCTTTTTGATGACTAGGCTTCAAAACACTCTGTACCTGAAAGACAGAACACAACAATTGTGATGTCAAAAAGTATTCTCCTCAATGATACCTTTTCTATGACTCATAAGGGTAGAACCAAATGTTCCATCAGGAAATAATTATGGTCTCAACCCATGTTTCTTAATAATAAGGTAAATAAAGATGAATGTATGTTCTGCAACCATGTCCTTCCAATGGGGAAGAGTCTGAGAAAGCATAATCTTTTCCTCCTTATTCTCCTCCTCACAACTATTTCTCTCTAGTTGACCTACAAGATTAGGCATAAGGGAAGTTAGGAATAGAGAAAGTGTGTGAGGTAGTTCCTGTGAACCACAGAGTGGTGGGCAAAGAAAAGTCTGGCATTTTCTCTTGCCACTTCTCCCCTGAAAATCCTGTAAGCTTGCATTCATCTAATGCAAGGAACATCGGATTTTAACCCCTGTCTACTGAACCAGCTTCAGCTTCAATCTAAATTCTCTCTAGTTAAAGGGGGTTCATTCTTATAACTAAGTAATATTCTGATTAAATGGTACAGAGTAGTATTATTAGGACAACAAGGGAAGTTTTACATGTCTGTGGCCTAATTTACCATAGGATTATTTGCTCATGTGGCAGTCCATAATACTATAATTAAAATTGTAAACCGCCCGGAGAGTGCTTGTAGTGCTATGGGGCGGTATATAAGTCCAATAAATAAATAAATAAATATAAAAATGATTGTATAAAACTAAAATGTATACATAAACTATATAAATTAATATCTTTGTATAAATGCAAACAATTGGAAATTAGATGCAAAATGATAGTGCTGTATATAGCTCAGACCTCCTGTCCCTTTTAAATTACTCTGATAGGTTCCATGTGTATGCTTTACAGGATTATGTTTGCATTTCAAAGAGAATTAAATCTTCAGAGGTACTATGACATTAGCTTTGATCCATCACTACTTGTTTGGGAGCAATAAAATATGATGAAAGAATTAGACACTGTGTGAAGCCTGTTTGGTCTGTTTTCCTGCACTAAACAAAAGTCGATCTTATTCTTAAGGCACCTAAAATCCCAAAATATAATAAAATATTTATAAATAAAAACTTTCTCATAGGTTATATACAGAATGGCTGAAATATTCTGTAGAAGATTGACAACATCATCAGATGCAGCAATTTTTCAGAAATAAGACATTTCTGACTTCTCCCAGAAAGATCCTGAGGCTCTCAGGGAATCCCTTCTGTCACTAGGAAGTCACTGGGCATTGTGTGACAGCACAGAAGTCTACAATTACTGAAAATCACTGCTGCCAATGGCAATTTTAGGTAATTAAAGTCTCCACCCACATTTTGTGGTTCCCAATGGCTTTTGATGACAAAAGGAAAGATTTATGACCTTGGTTTTGTGTAGAAATATTTTATTCATGAGACATCACTGTGGCTCACATTGTCATCAACCTTACCCGGTGTACCTTACAGATTTCAGGCAATATATAATAACTAAAGAGATGTGGTACATGTTCAGTAATGATTACAAGTTTGTTGTTTTTGTTTCTCTTCTTGGGATGTTACATTACAGATCAATTTATTACAATAACTCCTGTATTGTTTTCACATTTTCTACAATTGGTACTTTAAAAATCTCAAATATTTTATATGAAGTTATCTTGTTGTACAAATCAAAACAGATAATATAATTCTTCTATACATCAAATGATAACTGTGTGACTTTTTTTGTAAAACTGATCTGATTCTGGGAACTTTATTTTTCCTGTTCATATACAGAGAGGGGAGCATTGTTTGCTGAGCACAGACAGCATGTACTACATATGATAAAGAAAGGGTGAACAGTAAACAGCAGAGAAAGAAATACTATAATTTCAACATGGGTTCTGTTTATTTTTTTCATCAATTCTGACCCACATGCTCAAGGTCTCCTACTGCAACTTCTGAGGTCTTGGAAATACACTACAAAACTCACTGCAATATGTCCTATCAATAGATTGCTGCTTAGGCAGGCCCATTATTCAACTTGGATTAATTGTCACAAACATAGTGAACAAAGTGTATTGACTGTTTTATTGTTATCCCATATTGTTATTATATAATTAAAAAAGAAACAAATAATTAACTGTGTAGGAATTAGGCCCTAGCAAAACCATTATGCTAGCTCTATTATAACTACATCTATGTGCAAATGTTTCTACATTATTTAGAGATGGAGAAACTGAGGGGACAATTTCACCAAACTTCTTGAAGGGAAAGAGGTTTTCCAACACCTTCTTCAAGGTGTAGCTTGGCCTCAGAAGTGACTATAACAGGTCTCTTCTTTTCTTTCCTGATTTTTTTTTGAGGGGGGTACTGTCACTATAGTGGCAGCTACAGCAATTGTACTAGTAGCCTGGTCACCATTTTGACTGCTCTGCAAGGCCTTATATTTAATGTATTATTGCACACTCTGGTGGTACTGGACAAAGCACCAAAAGATGGCAGAGAATATTTGGAAATTATTTTGCAACGTTGCTGTCAATTGCTAGGGGAGTAAAAAAAAAAGAAAGGATGCTTCAAAGAAAAATATCTTATCAGAAATTTTGGCTTAGCACTAGTTCTCATTCTTTATTTATTTATTGTATTTATTTATTTGATTTCTATCCCGCCTATCTGGTCTTATTCGACCACTCTAGGCGGCTTTAGTATTCACCACCTTCCACAGTAACTGTAGATACATTTTGTATCTACATTTTGGTTTTATTGCAAAATATACTTACAAGATCAGCTCCTTCCATGTAAACTCTTCTAAATAGGTAGGAATGAGAGAAGTGTTGTGTCCAGCTTCAGGAAGAAGGTGAAGCTAAGGTCGTGTCTGTCACCCAAATTAACAGTTTAACTTTCCCATGAAAAAGTTTCCTTCCTCTGCCCCCCTACAACACATAATTCTCAGGGACTTTTACATTTTCTTTTGATGTTATTTTTGTTTCTATAACATTACAATCTAGCCAAGAGCAGTTCGATTGTTTTTCCCTGTTTCTTGATCTGAAAAAGCCTTGTGAGAAGGACTCACGGTGTCTCTCCACAAGTTTTAACTGATGTATGGAAGTTTGTCAGATAACCACAAAGATAAATGTGCAATGAATGACAGTATATTTACACCAGGGGTCTCAAACATGCAGCCTGGGGGCCATTTGCGGCCACCGGATGATAGTTTGTGGCCCCCGCCTTGCCTGACCCCGAAGCACCCACGTGTCCTCTGCTGTCAAGAGTAAAAAAAAGCCTCGCTTCGCTTGCCAGCTCTCTCCCAAGACATTGCCTGTTTGTGTGCATGCACTAGCACGCACCTGTGGGGGCCCTGCCCCATTGTTTAATTTCACAGGTACCGATGGGGGCTTTTCTCCTTTGGCAAGGCGATTCTGTGAGGGATTTTTTAAAATTTTATGTCATGTCCTCCCCCCCTCCCCAGCTAGGCATTTGCTGGCGCTCCCTCCCTTCTCTGCTTCTTTGTCCTACTTCTGGAGGTGGTAGTGAA